CTTCACACACATCCTTTCGAAGCCCATAAAGAATAATCCTCTTACCATGACTTACCCGTAGGATAAGACTTTCCCTACCTTTTAGGGGTTACGATATACCCGGTAAGGGATGAAAGAGAGATAACAAGATCTGGGGACACATCTACGTGGGGCTGAACAACTAACTGGACCCCAAGAACATTCCCGAGGTCAGCTCTATTTATGCCAAAAAATTTGATGAACAGATTAAATGCTCTCACTTTTCATTCAAATTTAGAGGCCTGGTATAAAGACAGCTACAGATTTATGGAAACGGTAGAGTTATCGGAAAGGGCTCTAGGATTTATACCAGCCGCTGATAATGCAGCACAGTCTGGGGGCAGTTCCTGGTGGCTGACGTCTGAGGAAATAGACGGCAACACCCAACTGCAGATGGCTCCTGATAACTGGCCATCTCTTTTCCGAGTGGCCAGAAGTGTTATTTCGGGAGCACGACACAGAGCAGACCATCTGTTAAGGTTCTGGGGGAAGCTTCAGTTGGTCATACGTGGCGAAGGCAGCCAATGAGGCAGAACTCGAGCACGGCCGTGGACGTGCCAGAGGTCGCCGAACCCCCCCGTGCTGACCGCAAGGGAAGGGCTCCGAGCTCCAGGGATCACGGACACTCCGAGGGAAGGGGCTGAGGGCTGCTGGGGTGTCTGCTGGGCCTCTGCCAGGCCTCCGTTGTCCCCGTATCTTGGAAACTGGGAAACGTGTTGCTTCGCTGTCTATTTTTGGTACCAGAGGACTGTGGCCTTTCCCGAACAAGCGTGTCTCTCGTGTTAACAGTGTGCGAGCAGACGTGCCCTGGGAAGGCTGGTTCAAGGCTAACGGGACAAGAATTACAACACACAGCGAGTAACTGTAATTTCCCAGAGGAAAAGCGAAGCCTGCAGATCTTCTCAAACCTTTATCCCAAGCGTGAAGTTTTGTTTTCAATGCTTGAAAGGCCAGAGTTGTCTTCGTAAACAGAGACTGGGCCTCAGCAGGCCAGAGCAGGGGGACGTCTGATCTCGGCCATCACTGGCCAGGCCCTGACAGGCTCTGGCATTCACCTGCTCCCGTCTCCAACACGTCCCTCGCCCCGGAAAGCTCAGCGTGTGCTTCATATGTCTTGCAAAGCAACAGCGATGGGTAAGTAAGCCATACGATACAAAAATACATGTATGCTGAAACAAAACAGCTTCTTTCTAGATTTCTCTGTGGTCAAATTTGGGGTAATTTCTCCCTTTCTCCCTTTCTCCCTCTCTCCCTCCATTCCTTTCTTCTTTCTTCTCTCCGTTCCTTGTATCTTTCCTCCCTCCCACCCCCCCTTTTTCCTATCCTTCTTGACCCTGCCCCTCTTTTGCTAGTGCTCTGTGCACCTACATTGTCTGCCTATTGAATAATCCCAATCTGGTGTCACCTTTGAATAATCACACCCCCCCCAAACTCTTTGACTTCCTGCACATCTCTTTATGGTTTTATCTCCCACGAATGTATCTACAGTGAGAACATCGTCTATTCATATCCCTCCCCCCACATACAGGGACACTCTGTTCATTGGTTTCTGTAATCCCTAGTGTCTCTTGAGGTGGCACGATGCTCCCCTATCAGCTCTGGTGGCCTCTGACTAATATGTCCCAACCCATCACCATCTTTAAACAATAATAGACCGGGGAGTGGGGTCCCAATCAGGGGGCTCCACAACCACAGGACTTCCTTTCCTTTTCCTTCTCAGCATCTTGGAGGGTCTCTTCCTCCTTCCCCCCATTCTCCCCGAGCCCATGGCCATCCTCAGGACCAGCAGAGGGTACGTCAGTGCAAAGGGAAGATGGCTGCCCCTCCCCCAATCACCTTCTCTCAGTCTCAAACCTGGCACATCACGGCATCCCTTTCCGTCAACTCCCCTCCCCACAGTCACTGTTCTATAACTCATGCCAGAAACTTTTCTCCATCTCGTGTAAATACAATGACCAGATTTTCCAGAAAGTTCTAATTTAAATGTTTCTGTTTGCCAAGCCCTACCTCCCATTTGAGGAAATATGGCCACTCGTCCAATACGGAATATAATGGAAGCCTGTTGTCAGTACCTGTAAAAATAACTCTGATTTTGTCCTTTTTAGGGTCTAAGTAATTGTCGAGCAGCACAAGAAGAAGGAGGCCATAACAAAGTTAAGGTGCATGACTTTCACACTGGACATCTCATACTTGCTTGAGAATCTGGAAAAAGCAGCAGACTTTGATTTCGGAAAAACACACAATGTGCAACATCAACCTGCGCTCCACATAAATGGAGAGGACAAATTCTTTTTTTTTTTTTTTAGTTTGTTTATTTATTTTGAGAGAGACAGAGTGTGAGTGGCAGAGGGGCAGAGAAAGAGGAAGAATGTCGAGCAGGCTCTGTGCTGTCAGCACAGAGCCCACACGGGACTCGAACTCACGAAATCGTGAGACCATGAACCAAAGCCAGTGGAAATTGGGAGTCAGATACCCAAGCCGCTGAGCCACCCCGGGGGCCCCAAGAGGACAGATTCTTTAATGGGAAGTATCAGAGGAGGTAACGACACAAAGGGAAAGCAGCAAGACCTTTTTTGTTTCACTCATTAATACGTTGACTCTTGTTTCACGCCCACTATGTGCTGGAGCGTTCTGGGCACTTTGGGAATGCAAAGCAAATATAAGGCATCCCTTTTGCCATCCAGAAGTTCAGTGCAGTGAAGGTAGACACGCCTGCAAATCATTCTCTTTTGTTTTTTAATTTCAAAATCATCATAAACTTATAGGAAAGTCGCAGGTACAAGATGAAGACATCTTTCTTTCATCGCTTAATGCGAAGTTGCCGATCTGTCGTCCCAACTCTGATAACCATGTCTCTTATTTTCTGTATTCTGATGCTCTGACCGCTGGGGTCTTGCTGCCCCTGGAGGGGCCACCCCTAGCAGGGTAGCCCGTTCCTAAAGATAACGAACAACCCGCATCGAGCATGCTTTTCAATGCAAAGCGACCAAGCCAGAGTCCGCACCCATGATCTACACCAAACACCTGATCACCCCAAAGCAGGTACCAGACAAGAAGGACAGCTTCTCTGCCCAAGAGCCTACTGATAGTTCAAAACAGCCAATCCCACGCCCACTCGCCCTGCCTCGCCTGTTCTTCCCATGGAAGCGAGAGTAAAAGCTCTGGTCTACATTTTCCCTTCACTCCCTCTGCTTCCTTACAGACACTGCTTCCCCTTGTGGGCCTGTGTGGGGTGCCATGGCTCCCGGAGACTATAACCAACTAGATAGATCTTCGACGGCGGTCTCTCGTTCCCGTACCTAAATGCTAACAAAACCTGTTAAACCACGGTCATCTGCGACTACTTCGTGCGTACTTCCTACATAACTACAAAACAACTCTTAAATTTTAGAAATTAACACTGATACGTTACTGCCATCCAGTCTTCAGACACCTTTTCAGTTTTGCCAGTTATCCCAATAATGTCCTCTAGAGCTAAAGGATCCAGACCAGAATCAGACATCACGCGTAGCTGTCAGGCTTCTTTAGCATCATGTAGGCCGGAACGGTTCCTTGGCCTTTCCTTGACCTTCAGGACCTCGACACTTATTGAGATTACAGGCCAGTTATTTTGCAGGAAGTCCCTCGATCGGGCCTCTCTGATGCTTCTTCACACGGTTAGGCTCAAGTGCTGCGTCTTTGATGAAATGCCACAGAAGAGACGCTGTGTCCTCAGCGTGTGCCTTCGGGTCACGATATCAGTTCGCTTCCTTACTTTGGTCACTTGATGAAATTGTGTCTGCCAGGCTTTTCCACTAAACGGTTACCCTTCTTCCCGTTATAATTTATAACCTTTTCGCGGAGGAAAAACTTTGAAACTATAGAAATATCCTGTTCCTCATCATACGTCCAATTTACATATTACCACAACTTCTTCCTTTAGCCCATTATAATTTGTTACTCTCATTATTTTATATTCAGATTGACCCAAATTTAACAAGTGTGTGCTTTTTAAACAAAATTTTTTTAATGTTTGTTTATTTTTGAGAGAGAGAGAGAGAGAGTGTTAGCAGAGGAGGGGCAGAGAGAGGGAAGCAGTCTCCAGGCCCTGAGCTGTCAGCACAGAGCCTGACGCGGGGCTCAAACTCACAAACCGTGAGATCAACCTGAGCCGAAGTCGGACGCTTAACCGACCGAGCCACCCAGGAGCCCCTGACAAGTGTGTGCTTTTAAAAAGTGACCTCAGGGGCACCTGGGTGGCTCAGTCGGTTAGGCGGCCGACTTCGGCTCAGGTCATGATCTCGCTGTCTGGGAGTTTGAGCCCCGCCTCGGGCTCTGTGCTGACCGCGCAGAGCCTGGAGCCTGTTTCGGATTCTGTGTCTCCCTCTCTCTCTGACCCTCCCCCATTCATGCTCTGTCTCTCTCTGTCTCAAAAATAAATAAACGTTAAAAAAATTTTTTTTTAAATAAAAAAAATAAAAAGTGACCTCAATTTCCTTCTGACGTGCCCTCGGACTTTTTAAAGTACTTCCTTGCTTTCTTTCTTAGTGAGATGTTCCAGCCTCTTCTTGTACTTTCCTTGCCCAAGCTCCAGAATTGACCGTTTCTCCCAGGAGTCCTGTATCTTTTGAGAGGATGATTGTATTGAGAAGTCAAGCCCCAGGCACTGGATGTGTTCATTTCCATGGGGGTGTTGCTGCTCCTGGCCTTCTTGGGGAGCAGAAGGAGGAAGCATCGGTATGTACCCATATGCACATGTACACATCTGTGCACACACACACACACACACATTTTGTTCACATTTATTTCTCTGTCTCTATCTCTCTAACATACGATTCTGTCTTTGGAGAAGGATAGGGTAGGGTGGGTGATGCCAATAGGTTTGGGGTCCTGAGAAGGTTTTTGTTGTTGTTGTTGTTGTTCCTTGGTTGGTTGATTTATTAGTACGCTAGGGCTACCATAACAAAATGCCACGGACTGGGTGGTTTCTACAGCAGCTATTTTCTCACAGTTGTAGAGGCTGGAAGTCTGAGATCAAGGTGTCAGCACGGTTGGTTTCTCCCAAGGTCTCTCTCCTTGGACAAAAGATGGTCGCCTTCTCCTGTGTCCTCCCACGGACTTCCCTCTGTGCATGTCTGTGTCCTGATCTCCTCTTCTTGAAAAGACACCTGTCACATCAGATGAGGGCCCACACATCTGCCTTCGCTTTCACTTAAATACGTCTTTGAAGACCGTATCTCCAAATACGGTCACACTCTGAGGTACTAAGGGTTGAATCTGAGAGGGAGGGGGGTACAATTCAGCCTATAATAGTTAATTTACCAGAAAAATCAGCATGCTTTTTGGCAAAGGTCTACACGTTCTAAATCTAGAGAACTCAAGCATCAACACAACAAACAGTAATGACGATTTTTATTTTATTTTTATTTGTTAAGAGAGAGAGAGCAAGTGAGCAGGAAAGAGGGGCAGAGGAAGACAGAGAGAAAATTTTAGGCGGGCTCCAAGCCTGAGGCAGGGCTCGATCCCATGGTCCCAGGATCATGACCTGAGCTGAAATCAAGAGTTGGGTACTCAACCAATGGAGCCACCCAGACGCCCCAGTAATGAAGACTTTTAAAAAGAAACAAACAGGGGCGCCTGGGTGGCGCAGTCGGTTAAGCATCCGACTTCAGCCAGGTCACGATCTCGCGGTCCGGGAGTTCGAGCCCCGCGTCAGGCTCTGGGCTGATGGCTCAGAGCCTGGAGCCTGTTTCCGATTCTGTGTCTCCCTCTCTCTCTGCCCCTCCCCCGTTCAATGCTCTGTCTCACTCTGTCCCAAAAATAAATAAACGTTCAAAAAAAAATTTTTTTTAAAAAGAAACAAACAAACAAAATTCATAGTTCCCCTCTTCAGTGGACAGGCTCTGTCTAAATTGGGATGAGCCAGTCTGCTCACGGCAAAGAAGGACATCCTTCCCTTCTAGGCCTTTCGATAGCCCGTGGGGACTCTCTTCTCCCTAATATCTGTAGTTACACTCAGTTTCTCATTTTAACTTTACTTGTAATGTCCTAAAAAAAAATGTCCTTTGAGAATTTAATTGGTTAAAAAGGCATTTTTAAAGATTGACCCTCACGCTAAGCAAAAACAATATCAAGAAATTTCGATTTCTGACGAATTTCATTCTTTGTTTTACAGGATCATCAGTTCCACATGAAGCCAAAAGGTCCACTTTTTTTTTCTTTTTTTCTTTACATCTCAACTGGCTTCGAATGCAGACAGACTTCTCCTTTACTTATTTCCATCTTAGTTTTTTTACAAACTAGTATCCGTGAGCGTGCATTTTATGCTACGTAACACAAGGGCATGATTTGACCGTAGTTTCTTTTTGCCATGGGGGGTTGGCACAAAGCTTCTCTCTGCATCAGGTTCTGCTGCACCAGCTCAGCGAGGAGGAGTGTGCAGTGCCCGGGCTCAGGCCGCAGAGCTGGGCTGTTTGGGGCAAGACTCCCGATCTTGCTGGCATGCCCTCTCCTCTGCCGTGAAATGGAAGAATTGCCCCCGTCAGGGCGCCTAGTGCCTGGAGAACGCTCAACAATAAACAACTTCGTGCCGAATACTTGTGGGAATCAGAGAGAGAGAGAGAGAGAGTGGCCAAAAGCCCCCGCAACGGTACCCGCCAGCCAGAGAGAAGAATCGAGAAAAGGGGCAGTAGAGAAAGAGCGATAGATGGCAGGCTTTATCATTTCTGGCGATGGGCCTTGGTGATAGGGTTAAGGAATTGGTGCAGAAGAGCGGAAGTCAAAAATTAGGGGAACTGCGACCCGTTTTCTGTAGATAAACCGTATCTTTATATGAAGAAGGTAGATTACACAGAGCATCACGCTTTTCCTTTGGTTCCATTGCGCACCCCGGACGGGCATCCCGTCCTCAGACCCGGCTCTGCGTCCCCCTAAATCCCGGGGAGTCGTGCCTCCCTGGCCACCGCAGTAAGAAGCGGTCTGGGGGACACACTCCCCCAGGGTGGCCAGCGGGCACCTTCCCGTGTGCATGAAAGTTCGCTGAACTCGCCCCCCTCCCCCCACCCCCGGCCTTGTTCTCTTCCCTTCCATCAGCAGCTCAGAGCTGAGCTGTCCACTAAGCTCTCCTCCACGCCGCCCAAGGGCACTCGTCCCCGGACTCTGAATTAGACACGGCAGAAAAGAGTCTGAAAGGTCAAATGCAGAGTAGTTCCTCTTTCGGTATCAAAATAAAGCATTCCTTGCATTTCCCTGAAATTTCTTCTTCCTCTTCTCCCGCTTCTCCTTCTCCTTTGAGACCGTCCGGGGAGAATTTCCCACGAGCCGAGCTACGCTACATCCTCGACAGGCTGGGGCTCGGTGAGACCCCACTGAAGTCGCGGTCTGCTCATTTTAAAACCCCAAAAGCCGAAGTTTAGCGAGTCCGGAGGTTCGCGAGCTTGGGGCGCGCCTGGGTGGCTCAGCCCGTTGAGGGTCTGACTCTTGATTTCGGCTCAGGGCACCATCCCGGGGTCGTGGGAGCGAGCCCCTCTGTTCTTCCACACTTCCTACAGATCCTCGTGGCTGACCCACGTCTCAAAATTTCTTCCCCGGACATGACACTTCACAGGCACACGCGCACACACACACACACACGTGCATATGTCTGCAAATCTATACATGTGCATCTAACACCCCATACACAGAACGCCTGCATACCCGCATTCCTGCACAAACACACACGAACATCCTCACATCGTGCTCCTACATACGTGCCTTTACCCCGCCCCCCACAGCCCTGAGCACACACACTCATCTATGCACACAAATGTCTATACACATAATTACACCCTGAACACCCATCGGTGCACCTACCCTGACGCACACGCTCCCCTGCGTGCACACACCCTTACACACGTGCCAATACCGTTCCCACGCACACACACCCCTGAACACACGCTCCCCGTACACACACAGACCTGCCCGCACATGCACACGCGCCCGGCCACTGTCAGAACACGGATGAAAGCGGAAGAAGCTAGGGTCACGTGTTATCATTTTGTATTTCCAATAATGGGACCAAGGGAAATTTTCTCTCTGTGTTAATTTTTTTTTTTTAATGATGTTATTTGGCAATACATATATACCGAGAGGAGAAAGACCATTTCAGGTCATCCAGTCAAGAAGTTTTCGTGCTGAGGAGACATTTGAGGCAACCTAACTAAGACCATGTCAAGAACTGCACTCAGAAGACACCTTTGCGTGCCCTCATTTTGTTTTGCTTTTTAAAAGATTATGGAATTGAAAACATGGCCTTTGTTCTACTTCGTATTCGATTACCGGTGAATTTTTGCAATTAAAAAAAAATTTTTTTTTTTTATTTTGAGAGAGAGAGAGAGAGAGGGTGTGAGCAGGGGAGGGGCAGAGAGAGAGGGAGACACAGAATCTGAAACAGGCTCCGGGGTCTGAGCTGTCGGCCCAGAGCCCGACGCGGGGCTCGAACCCATGAGCTGTGAGATCGTGACCTGAGCCGGAGTTGGTCGCTCAACCGACTGAGCCACGCTGGGGCCCCTGAATTTTTGCAATTTTAGAATACTTAAGTATTTTAGTTGAGCGCGTGCTATCCCAGCTTTGCAAAACAATGGTAAAACACAGAGATTCCATCCAGGGATACTGTCCTCGGACCATTTATTACCAACAACTTACGGAAGCAGAACTTCTGGAGCTTTTGAGAGTGCAGATAGAAGGCTTGGCCTGGTGCTGCTTACACGTTCTGGGCTCTCCCCATCTACATGTCTGAGATTCAATTTCTTTCGCCTTGAAAAGAACTAGAGTGGATACTTTTCTATTAGGACAAATACACCTTGGTATCCTCCAACCTATGTGTTAATATTTACGAGGAGAGAAGTACTGGGCACAATAAAACCATTTCCGATGTGTCAAGTTTTATAGTGAGTCACACATCTGTCTAACCAGATAAATGTGACAGGACATCCTGTAGGCACCATGCAGTTTTTCCAATGCTTCTAAGTTTTTCTTTCTTTTCTTTTCTTTTCTTTTTTCTTTCCCCCTTCTTCTTCTCCTTCTTCTTCTCCTTCTCTTTCTCCTCCTCCTCCTCCTTCTCCTCCTCCTCTTCCTCCTCCTCCTCCTTCTGGCCCCGCATGAGACCCAAAGGCAATCACACTGTAACCAAATACTAAAACATGTTATAAGTCTAGCTGCAGCTGTGTACAAAAAGAAAGAATTGTAAAGGAAAAAAACAAAAAAGAAAGAAAGAATTGTAAAGGTACTGTTGAAGGCCGATCATGTTTGATAACATCTCCGCAAGACAGATTTTTCTTTTAGAGCACAAATCCCTTCTCTATTCATTTTTTACTCATTTGTACTTTTTCCACACTCACTTCCACTCTTGCCATGTGCTATTGTTGTTTGTTTTTATTGGGAAATAAGGGACTTCTCTGAAAGGGAAAGGACACTTCATTTTGTTTCAGCAACATGCTGCTTTATACAGAGTTCCCGCATTGACTTTGGTTTTTACATAACCTTCCTGACGGAATGGTGACAGGATCATCAGATCCGGTAGACAACAGATGACGAGCCACCAATGAAAATAATCACCAGAATAGCACAGAAAGTCAGCTTTCTGTATATGTATCAAAAGGATGAACAATTGAGAAGTTGATGAATCACTATTTAGGTTTTACTTACAGAACAAACTCTGTGGTTTCTTTAGCGAGAATAACACGTAATAAACATTAATTGATTGAGTCGTATTTGGTTTCCACAAACGTCCTCAAATATCTGAAGCATGGTATTTCACACCAAAAAGTTATAATCACCCGTCTAACCCCAAAGACGATCACGCAATGAGTTAAACTTAATCAAACATCTAACTGTAGATATTAACATACATGTACAAAAGTAATGCACGACTTTGATCATTATTCTTTCTGCCAGTTACTGGCTGTGTGATACTGGGAAAGTGACCTAGCCTCTCTGAGCCTTACTTTCCTCATCTGCAACTTAGGGATTAACAACATCAACAGCAAATCCTTGTTGTGAGAAGTAAATAAAGCAGCATCCAGCAAGTGTCCTGCTCAGCACACGATGAAAACGAGATAATTGGTAGGTCAAAAAGCCTGTGTTCCATCCTGGAACCATCAAGTTACTAGTTTGAGATCAGACAAGGTTTCTCTTTTCTGTCGCCCAACTTTCTTATCATGAGATGAAACAAAAATACGCATGTGGGGGGGGGGGACCCAGGGGGCTCAGTCCGTTAGGCGTCCGACTCTTGATTTCAGCTCAGGTCATGATCTCGCCGTTAATGAGTTCGAACCTCACGTCGGACTCTGCACTCACAGTGTGGAGCCTGCTTAGGATTCTCGTTCTCTCCCTCTCTCTCTCTCTCTGCTCCTCTACCCCTCCTGTTCTCTCGCTTTGTCAAAATAAATAAATAAAAACTTAAAAAAAAAAGCAGGAGGGAGAGGGGAACATGGGCGAGGAGGGCACTTGCTGGGATGAGCACTGGGTGTTGTACGTAAGCGATGAATCACGGGAATCTACCCCCAAAACCAAGAGCACACTGTATATACTGTAGGTTAGCCAATTTGACGATAAATTATATCAAAAACAAAAACAAAAGGACATAAAGCCTGCCGCACACTCCTGGCCATTGGAAGGCAGCTACTGGATTCCCTTTCCTGACCTTCCCTGGTGCTCTGACTCAATAACGGTTACAGCTCTCACGTCCACTCCATCATTAATCCTACAGCTAGTTCATTTAACCGGTTCAGCGTCGTTCACGTTAGCGAGGCCCTTGTTCCCTGGTTAGTGCAATGCGAAGCGTGTGAGATATAGAAACTGATTGAGAAGCTGGAAACAGCATCCACTTTTCAGAAATCTCATCACATCTTTGAATGTCCCACTTCTTGACAGAGGAGTTCTGCCAACGAGCGTCTTGGACTTCAGGCCTGCTGAATCTTCCGGATGCTTCCATCGGAGCCTTCTCGGGGGCAGGGGGTCCCAATTCTCATTCCCGTTTCCAGACTCATGCCGCACATATGTCATGCACACACGTGTACACATGGATACAGTTATGGTTTCTTCAACCTCATTTAATAAACTGTCCTAAGTTTGAATTTTTTTCTCCATCTCTCTGTAGCCTAACGTGTTTGATTATTCCAGCCTGACTAGTTCGCAGTCATGTCCTGAGCCCATTTCTTTAAAGCCCCCTTCTCGTAGGTCCGAAATCCAGGTACTGACAGAGATGAATAAGTACACATTAAAGATGATTTCTTACAGCCATCTGCGTTCTCTCGGGAATGCGCCCTAAACAGCCCTGTACTTGAGCACTGTTCTAAACTTTCAAGTTCAGATCACAAAACACTCATATGTAAAGGAATTTTAGAAGATTGAGCTTTAGTTTTCTGGTCACCGGAAGGATTTCTTTGTTTCCATTTAACAGGAGCATCTAGTTGGACTGGTTTATAAGCCTCCATAATAGTTGAAGGTTTGATCTCCTTAATACAAGCTACTCACCACCTCTTTTGTATGCAGATCCCCCTCAAAGGATTTTCCTTCTTGAAATCAAAAGCTGCTTCCAATTGGTCTAAGCAAAAATATCGCTTTATACTGCTCACATAATTTCCCAGGTCACAGTGAATTATTTTCTCAGATCAAACGCCCTGAACAGGCAATAAAAGTCCTCCTACTATGTCTTACCATCAAAAGCAGAGACTCTGAAACCTGAAAGTTCCTACGGATGCCACGCGGACCAGCCTCTAAGCCCAAAAGTGAGGAAACCAAGGTTTCACAGCTAATAAATGGTGAAGCCAGAGCTGAAACAGAGCTCTCATAATTCCTATGCGATGTTCTTTCTATCAAAGAAAGCTTATTTTTATCACCAGCTTAAATCCCAGAGAACTTAAGCTTTATGGATGCATAAAAGCATACGATTATTTTTATACAATTGATTTTTAGTGCACTGGAGAACGCATTCATCTCGCAAATATTCATTGAGCTGTATGTGTCTGGCATTGTGCTGGGCACAGGGATAGAAAGGTGTGGAAGACCCCGTCCTCAACCTAAGGAAGCTCGGGGTCCTCCTGGATCAGCCTGTAGAACACAATGTTGTCAGCCCCGTCTGCATTCGAGGCAGGGAATGCACAGATGAGGTGGGTCATCACTGCAGACCGGTGGAGATCATGGAGACAGTGGAATGCACCCTGGTTCTGGATCCAAAGACCTGAGTTGAGTCCCAGCCTCCCATTAG